TGAACCCGATTTACCTTTATCATTATGAAAAAGTCATCTTTTTTCTACTTCTTTCTCTCATCACCACATGCAAGAAATGTAGAGAGAAAAATTATGTTACATCACCTAAAATGACTTTACCTGTTAAACTTATATAGAAAAATCCCTCTATCCTTGGTTATTTTCTTTGTTTTGAAGTCTGCTTTGCCTGGTATTACTATGTTAGTCTTTTTAGTTTTGTATAAATGTGCCCCATCCCGTCCCTTTACTCCTTTCCTAATCTATTTCCCCTTTCTTTTTAACCTATCTCTTTTATGCTAACTGTGGGGTTTCTATCAAAGGGATTGAGTTGGTTTCATTTGTTTTCAATACAATCTGATAATCTCTGCTTTTAATTAATGTGCTTAGGTCTTTGCCATTTAATGATATTAAGATTTTTGGGCTTAAGTCTGTCATTTTGCTGTTTGTTTTCAAAGTGTTTTATCACTTCTTTTCCAACTTCATTTCTATTGATTCTTTTCTAACTTCATTTAGTTTGATTCCATTTCATCTCTACAGTTTCATTTTTACAATTACTCAATTTCCACTATTTCCTGTATTAAACAATCTTTGTATTATTTTTACATATTCTAAGGTTTAGAATTTACCTCTTTTACTATCTTTATTACTGTCAAATAATATTCCATGTCATATATTGTATCAGAACAGTATATGTACATAGTTGTAGTTCTATAGATAAGCCCTAGAATACATTGTTTTTATTTTTTATTTAAACAGTGAATTCTTTACTCTCTTGAAGATATTGAGAAAGAATGTCTGTTTTTTTTCTTTTTTCTGGTACTAAGTATTAAACCCAGAGCCTTCACCCCAAGGTACATCCCCTGCCCTTTTATTATTTTTTATTTTGAGGAAAGGTCTTGTTGAGTTGCTAAATTTCCCAGACTGAGCCTAAGCTTGCAGTCCTTCTGCATCAGCTTCCCAGTGTGCTGGGATTACAGGTGCGCATCACCATGCCTGACACTTCTTTTTTTAAACATTCACCCATATGTTTACCATTCATAGCATGCTTCACAGGTTTTTGCATAGATCCATAGATTTTCATGTAGCATTTGTTTAGCCTGAAGAATTTTCTTTAGAATTTTTTATAGTGCATGTTTAGTCATAAGAGGCTTTTTGTTACCTATTTTTTTGAAAGATACATTGTTTGAGTTTTTAATTATGTGTTGACAGCTTTTTTCAGGTAGCACTTGATTAAGGTTATTCTATTTTCTCATTTTGTGAAAGATTTCTATAAGAAATTTGGATTAGTTTCTCTGTACCTTTCCTTCCTCTCTCCTTTGTATTTGGGGATTGAACACTGGGCTACCTTATACATGACAAACATTTACTCCATCACTGAGCCATCCCCCTAATTCTATTGTGTGTTTGTATGTGATGTGTTGTTCTGCTCTCTGCCTGCTTTTACAATTTTTCTTCTTAGCACTTAACATTTTTCTGGTCCCTTTTCCCACTTCTTTCTTCTGGTAGTATAGTTATTAAGATTGCTTGATGTTATTCTATATTTCATTAAGGCTTTATCCAATTATTTCAGTTGTTTTTTTCTTTTCTAGTCTTTAATTTCATGGGACTTCCTAAGAGCCTTAGAATTGTCTCATAGGGAAGAAAAGAGGGAAACTTTATCCCTCAATTTTCCAGGTTCTGAAATCATGAGTATAGTACCATTTTCCCGTGTTGTCTCACAATACAGGATATGCAATGCCAGTGAAAGTCTGCTTTAGAATTGGTGTCTGTAGCAGGGGCTAGAATTAGAGGTGGAAACAAAATCTTTGTAAATAGGGAAGGGTGGAGGGATTGAAGGGAGGGCAGGGGAATAGGGAGAAAATAAGAACCAAGATACATCATGTAAAGGTACAAGTTCCCAATGATGAATGTAACTATACTTTATACCTCAAATGTACATGAACATAATGGGGTGGGCGGTGGAGAGGAAGGGTAAGAATTTTTTCCCCCAATAAATTTATTGGTACATTTTAGGTATACAGTACAGTTACATTCATCATTGGGAACTTGTACCTTTACATGATGTATCTTGATTCTTATTCTTTCCCCATTCCCCTGCCCTCCGTTCAATCCCTCCACTCCACCCTATATACAAAGGCTTTGTTTCCATTTTTTCCTTTTCTCATATTTTTTCTTTTCCCTTCTTTCCTTTCCCCTACCCCTCCCACTTCCCCTACCCTTTTAGTCCTTTTCTTCCTATTTCGCATTATCAGTTAATACATTGTGATCCTTATTTACACTTTTACTTTCTCACCGCAGAGAAACTGAAGTATTTGCATGTGTGTCCTATTTATTTTACTTAGAGTGTGGCTTCACTGTGCATTCATTTAGCTATAAATGTCTCTAGTTTTCTCCTTTATGGCTGAATAGTACTCCATTTTATAGAACAACCACATCTTCTTTATCCAGTCTCCATTTGATGGGCATTAGGGCTGTTTTCAAGTTTTAGCTATCACAGACTGTGCTGCTATAAACATGGCTGAGCATATATCACTGTGGTATGATTCTATTAATTATTTCAGTGAGATACCCAGCAGAGGGATAGTTGGGTCAAATAGGACTTCTAATCCTATTTTTTGAGGTGTCTATTGATTTTCACAGTGGTTGAACCAGTCTGCACTCCTCCCAACAGTGGAGAAGGACACCTTTCTCCCCACAACCTGCCAGCATTGGTTGATTCTTGATAGTAGCCATTCTTTGTGGGGTGAGGTGGAATCTCAGTATTGTTTTCATGTGCATCTCTCGAATGACCAGTGATGTGGAACATTTTTTCATATATTTATTTGCTGCTTTTTCTTTATCTGAGAAATGTCTGTTCATTTCTGATGCCCATTTTTGAATTGGGTCTTTATATTTGGGATGACTGGTTTTTTTGAGTTCAAATTTTTATATTCCAGATTGTAGACTTTTTACTGAGGAACTGCTGGTAAAATTTTTTTCTCACATTCTACGTTATTGTTAGCTCTGTTGGTGGCTTCTCTTGCAGTGCAGAAGCTTTTTAAAAAGATGAGATCCCACTTGTTGATTATTTGTGCAAGTTCCCATGCTACTGAAGTTTTGTTTATAAAAATCTTTTCTTATGCCATTCACCTTTGAGAGGTCTACCTAACTTATCTTCCAGCAAATTTAGTGTTTCTGTTTTAATATTTAGATCTTTAATCCACTTTAATTTTAAGTTTAGTGCATTGTGAAAGATAGAGGTCTAGTTTTAATCTTTGGCAAATTGAAATCCAGTTTTTCTAATACCATTTATTAATGGATGATTGGCTCCTTTGTCAAAAATGAGGTGGGTGAGTATATCTGGAGTTGTTTCTGCATCTTCTAATCTATTCCCCTCATCCTCAGGTCTGTTTCTTTGCCAGTACCATGCTGTTTTTATCACAGTGGCTTTGTAGTATAGTTTCAAGTTAGAGATTGTGTTACCCCCTACCGTGTTTCTGTTGCCTAGAATTGCTTTTTATATTCTAGGTCTCTTCTTGTTCCAAATGAATGCTTGTATTGTTTCCTCTAGTTCTGTGAAATATACTGTGGGTATTTCAATTAGGATTGCTTTGAATCTATGTAGGAGTTTTGGAAGTTTGGCCATTACTATACTGGTGCTTCCTACCCAGGAACAGGGGATGCCTTTCCATTTTTTAATATCCCATTTGATCTGTTTTTTCAGAGTTCTGTAGTTTTCAACGCAGAGGTCTTTTGCTTCCTTCATTAGATTGATTGATTCCTCAGTATTTCATTTTGGGATGCTATTGTGAAAGGAATTGTTTCCCTGATTTGTCTCTCAGTGAGTCTGTTATTTGTGTACAAGAAGTCTATTGATTTTTGACTGTTGACCTTATGTCCAGCTACTCTACTGAACCTGTCAATTAAGTCTAGAAGTCTTTTGGGGGAGTTTTTTGGGTCTTCTACATCCTTTCCTATCTTTATTGCTTTTATTTCTTTCTTTTGTCTAATCGCTGTGGCTAATGTTTCTAGAACTATATTGAACAGGAATGGTGATAGTGAACAGTAGCTTCTTGATAGAGTCACAGTAATGTCCATTACTCTCTGGGTGTGATATGGCTGAGACTATGATAAAGGATGGAGGTTTGTGTGGTGAAGTAAAGAGTGATTGACTTTGGCTGGGGATTTAGTTCAGTGGTTCTGCTGCGTGCCCTACAAGCTCAAGGTCCAGAGTTTGGTCCTTGGTAACAAGAAAAAAGAGAAAAAAAAGGGAGTGACAAAGTCTAAATAGTAAGCATCTTAATATTTTTTTTCATATCTTTTTTCTTGTTTACTAAGCTTTAGTATTAATATATTGCTTACATGCATTTCAGTTTTTACTTTGAGGTTTTGTTATTTAGAAAATTTAATTTCAGAAAACATTTTATTCTTAGAATCAGATAGGCATTAGTGAATCAGATGTTGTAGAGCAGAAATTAAAAAATAATATTTCTATGTTAATGTTAAGTAGGGACTTACATATTATGTGAAGACATCCTAAATACTTGTGAGAGGACATAGAGGTTAGATCTAGATCAGATAAATTGGAATTAAATTGCAATTTTTCCTCTTAATAGTATTCTATTTTTTGCCTTAATTTAAATGGATGTATGTATCTGTTGATTTCTACATCTGAAAAATAAATATGACAGTCCCTCACAGGCTATTTTGACAGAATTCAATAACTTAATAGACATAAGACATTCAGAATAATTTACTTCTGAAAATAAATCCTATTTTACATTGTTATTTTTGATGGTTAACTTGATTGCAAGTTATAATGGTTTCAGAAGAATAGGTATGAGTAGGGATATTATTTTATTTTTATTATTTTAAGGGTTTTGAAGTAGTGAAAGAACAATTGCATATCTAATTGATTAAATACAACTTTAAAATATTTTGAATGTATATGCTCTTAACCTGATTCATTCAATATTGCTTATTAAAACTATTTATTGTTTACTTTCTGTTTTCCAACTTAGGACCAAAAGATCTCAGATTGTCATAACTGAAGGTATATTTGAACTTCCAAATCTCACAATTCAAGCCACAAGAGCACAGACACTTTTGCTGCAAGCAATATATCAAAGTTGGTCTCATATTGGAAATATCAGCTCTTCAGGAGTGAATGAAGCTTTGATGAATGAAGTCTTCCAAACTGTAGGTAAGAGCATAATTTCCTTAAGAATTCTGTGGAGTATTTTTCTTAGAGGTGACTAATACTATTCAGATCCACATGTCTGGCATGCTCCCTTTATATTACAGTTCTGTAAAAGTAGATATTTGTAACATATGTTGAAAAGAGAGTTTGTGGGTTAAGCCATCAAATTTTGATTTCTGGCAAATGTTTGGGTATATTTTATACTTGTAAGAGTTTATTTTTTACTATATCTTTGTATAATTTACATTTAGTCTCATGTAGATAATTTTTTGTATACTTTTGAGACTAAATGGAGTATAAATAGTGCATGTTTGTTTATACTGGTTAAGTGAAATAAAAGTGTGGTTCATAATACTTGTTAAGTTTCAGCAAGAAAATTTTCCTTTGTATGAGAAAAGAAATTCTAAATTTTGGTTAATTAACTAGTAAAACACAGATTTATCTTGTGATGCAGTCTTGAAATAATATGCTTCTTTGGAAAGTAGTTCAAAGTGTTAAATGCTGAGTTGGTATACACACACACACACACACACACACACACACACACATGCACACACACATTTTCATTCCTAGGCATGTACCCTAAAGAAATAAAAATATATACCCCTACAAAATCTTTTACACATATGTCTAACTCATTATTCATAAAAGCCCAAAACGAGAACAACAAAATATACTTTTTGATGAATGGATAAATAAAATAGAGTGTATCTACAGAGTGGAGTTTTAGATATTAAAAGAAGTAGAAGTACTAATGCAAGCTAAAATAAAGATGTACCTTGAAACTGGTAAGTTTATGGTTAGAAGCTAGAAGTAAAAATAACACATTATGATTCTGTTTATATATTATACCTTGAATAGGAAAATTTATATTTGATCTCAGTGATGGCTAACAGATGTTTGTTTTTTCTTTAGGAGATAAAATTTTAATGTTACTATATAATATTAAAAAAGAAATTAGTGTAATTAAAAAATTTGATGTTAAATCTATTTAAAAAGGACCCCCCCTCATATTTTAGAAAATATTAATGACACTTTATTATAATAGATATAAGTAACACATAATGGATTACTTCATAAATGATTTAATTCATAAATATAGTACTTAGGTCATATTTAATGTTTAGCCATTTATGATGGCATTTATTTGCTTTTTAATGTAGGTGTTGTATATTTTTGAATGTATGTATGTATATGTGTTTGAATGAATGAGAGTCATTGTCTTTCTGGGTTGCCAATGCTGTTTTTGAATTCTTGGATTGAAGGGATCCTACTGCCTCAGCCTCTTGAGTAGTTAGGACTACAGGCCTGTATCACCACATCCAGCTTATATATTATATATTCAATAGAGAAAATACATTTATATAATGTATATAATGTTTATTTTTTATATAGTTATGCAAGGGGATTTATTAGGTAGTCTATGATCCTTTAGAGGAAAGGAGAGTCTGCAATGGCTGCTCTCATGATCAGTGGCAAGAGGGTTCTCAGTGGCCCTCAACGCCTTGGAGAGCTGGAGGATAATAGTAGTTGCTCATTCCAAGTAGATAGACACTTCAGAACAGGAGGGATCAAGGATGCAGCACCAATCCAAGGTTGAAGACCTGCATGATCATTGGAAAATTAGTTGTCTGTGAAAGTGCTTTGAAAAGCTAAAGAAACTGGATACCTGGAGAGTGATGATGGTAGCAAAAAGATGCACCTGCCCAAAAAGACTGCAGCTCTTCAAAGTAGGCACATATTCTTTTTCTTTCCATTTTTTATTCCACCCAGACTGCACTGCATGGGTATGGGTTGATATCGCCACCGTAGCGGTCGGCCTCCCCGTTTGGTGGCCTGTATGTCAGTCATCCACCAGACACACCCACAACTGTGCTTTAGTAATCTGGTCCACATTTCTTTCTATTTGTTTTTCTTTTTTGTTTTTTTAGAGATAGGGCTTGCTATGTAGTTCATGCTAGCCTTGAACTCACTATGTATCTGGGCTGGCCTTGACCTTGCGGTGATCTTCCGGTGTTGGCCCGGAGTGCTGGAATTACAGGTATGCATCACCATGCCAAGCGGTCAGTAGGAATTTCTTACTCCAGTCAAGTTGACATAGCTAGATTAACAGCCACAACATTATTGTTGTTCATGCTCATTGATAGTTCTCAAAAACTTAGTCCTTGCACTTAGAATTTTGTACTCTTTCACAGCATCTCCTCACTCCCTCTCCTCCTTACTGCTTTTTCCTGTGTTGCCTAGACCAATGTTGTGCAGCTTTCACCTGATGTAAATAAACAAATAAATGTTTGCTTTGGCTTTTTGGTGTCTTTTATAGTTGTAAGAGGCTTTAAGTGTTGCCTTTTCTTTTTTCTTGAAAATTGATGTTGAGTTTTTGCCTCCATCTCAAATACAGACATTGCTCACACAGACCAAGCTACGATTCTGTGACTAAGTCATTAAATGAGTTGGTCTCTACTTCAGGAATTTTATATAGTATGTACATTACAATATTCAGAGCAAAGAAATGGTCAAAGGAAACTCCATTTTGATGACTTTGCTTTTATTTGCATAACTTTTAATGCAGTACTGGAAAGTATAACAATATAAATTATGGTACTGTATTAAGCAGTACAATCAACAAAAATTGCGGTACTATATAAACAAGGTGTACTGTACCAAAAAAGACACTGAGTGAGGCTTTATAAACTAAATGTACAGAATTGTACCGAGAGAGAGAGAGAGAGAGAGAGAGAGAGAGAGAGAAAGAAAGAAAGAAAGAGAGAGAAAGAGAGAGAAAGAGAGAGAAAGAGAGAGAAAGAGAGAGAGAGGCGGGTCATAAATCCAAGCCATAGGTTGAAAGCACAAACAGCACACCTCAGTTGTAAGTCCTGACGTCATTCGGTAAATTGTTAAACGAGAAGTATCTGTACCTCAGTCTTCTCTCATCGAAGTAGTGGTGCTACAGAAATGTAATATCATTTTCAGTTTGAGGCAGTAAAACTATAAAATGCCTCCAAGAAGAAAAGATTTGTTTCATTGGTTAAATATATCATTTCAGAAGAACAAAAGTTAATTGTTGAATCAAAGATGTTGAATTAAGGATGAATTTCTTCTGTTTGCAACTAAATTAACGTAACAGACTTTAAGAGAATATCTGTATTGCATGTTCTATAAAGGTAAAATGAAGAACGTTTCCTTAGCTCTTGCAAAAATAAAAAGTAAAATGTTCTATGATGATTCTTGTTAGGGGTTTTACTTAATGCATTAGAATTTATATAGATAATGGTATAATGAATATCTTACTGTTTGCATCAAGTAATATGAATATTTTCACTTTTAAATCTTGGTGTTTAGGAGAGAATACTGAATTAGAGTTGAAGATTCTCTTAGTAATTACTTAAATGACTAAAGGTCAGTTTGTTTCATTGAGTTGCAGATGACTTTGTCATCTTCAAAATGGTATCTTTATAGCTGCCAATAGTTCTTGTGAGTGCCAGACATGGTATTGATTTTGCAGTTGTTTTGTTCATCTTGTTCTGGACATAGAGCCTCATTGGGATTCATCCATGTAGAGATAATTACCTATAGAAGTGGTTTAGGGGTTTAAATAAATTCCTGAAACTGAGATGACTCTTGTCACACTTGGAGTCTGTGATCCTCTGTTTTAACCAAAAGTGTGATTGGGCAGAGGTACATGTGAAGAGTAAGGTGAAAAGGTAATTAAGATAGTAGCAGTGTTGGTGAGACAACAAAATCTAAAATATTGGTTAGATTTAGGTATTTGGACCCCATGAAGAAAGTGTACATTGGTGCCTCATGTACCTGCTTATTAGGTCTCACCAGGCTCACAGACATATTCTCACTCCTGGAGATCCCAGAGAAGTACATCAGTACATCACTAAATGGATGTGACAGTGCAATTGGTAATAGAAATCTGAAACCACACCCTTTCATCTGCTCTTCACAAACTGTAGCTGTGTGCTAAGCATTTTCCCTTAGTGAATTGCATGGTGTAAGGACAGGGTACCATAAAATTTGAATAGTCTTGAATTTATTTACGTTTTTAGGTTGATAATTCTTTTCTTTTCTTTTAAATTGCATTTATTGGTACATTCTAGGTAGGCAGTACAGTTACATTCATTACTGGGATCTTGTACCTTTACATGCGGTGTTTTTGTTCTCATTTCTTCCCTTTTTCCCCCCCCCCAGCTTCTAGGTTGATAATTCTTTTGCATCCATTTCATTGGCTTCTTATCAGTAATGTTGTTGGCAGGTTTAATCCTGTTTTACAGATGAGAAAATTTATGCTCAAAACAATATAGTGTTTTTTAAAAAAGTATCAATCATCCCACAGCTATTTACTACATTTGTGAAGTCAGGCTTGTACACTTGTTTGTTATTATTTCTGCCATAACAAACTACCTTCTTGGTAAATGAGACCAGAAATAAACTAAGATAATTAAAACTTGGTACTCCATTAGATATTATTTAATGAAACTATAGCAAATATTAGATATTTAATTAAGTTATAAAGAAATTATGAGGACAGAGCAGTGAATTAAAGTTCAGCTAAATTCAGGATTATTGAACTATTAATTTTTGTTCTTCATGTTTATGATAGTACTCAAATCAAATTAAAGATATTTTAACTCTTGCCATTTTTCCAGAGGTTCAAATTCAAAGTCACATGTGAATTTTGTTTGCAATGGAAAACAAGGATTTGCTACCATTTTTTTCCACATTCAGGTCATTATTTTGTTGACACTGTAGATCCATTAATGTGGCATTTGCAGGGAAATAACTTACAGATTTAAAAAGCTGTGTTAAGATGATCAAATGGACATTTGAGTCTCTCATTTAAATGATGTCTTACTGTTAAAATAGAAATCTACTTTCCAGAAAGTAACTGTAAAAGTATTTTATGCAAGATTTCATATGGGATACCTTAATGGTAGAATAATAAATTTTGCCTCATAAAAATGAAATTCAATAATACAGTAGCTTTCTCAGCTCAGTAG